ATTGTATTTTTTTCTTCTACTTTTTCTTCTTGTTTAATACTAATTTCCATACTATTTGTCTCTTCTAAATTAATTTCTTCTTTTATTTCATTGTTTTCTTCAATTTCATTTTCTACTTCCATTAATTCTCCCAAATTTTGTACTTCTGTATTTTCTATTTTAGGAGATTTATTATCATTATTTTCTATATTTTGCATATTTTTATCTTTAATCACTGGTCTTATAACAGCATCATGATAAAATTGTATAGGATCTAATTCTGGTGGATGTTCATAATGAAATTTAACAGAACACGGTACCTTTACTCTTGTACGACCTTCTAATTTAATTTTTGTACGAAAAAGTGGATTTGTTGCACGTGCTTTCCGCAAAAAGTCCAATTTTACAGCATGTTGATCTATACGTTGATTAGCATATTTGTCCCAGAGTTTAATACGTTCTGTTACTCTACATGATGTTAATAAATTCTGATCTATGAAATGATTTGGATGATTAGGACACATCCATCTTCCAATTGGAAAAGCTGTGAGTGGTGGGTCTAAACAGTCTTGATGAAAATATAATGGACAATAATCACATGCAATTAAAGGTGCTTTTCTGCAACTACGACCACATTCAAAGCACAATCGTGCTGGCAAAGGTACCATTAAATTGTTATCTAAACAATGACTTTTTCCTACTAAGAAAAAAATATTTTATAGTTAAAAATAATTTATATAATAATTACTTATAAAAAATTAATAATATATACCATTATTATTTCCACTTTGTTGCTTTCCTCTTCTACCTGAAACATAATCTATTTTATTACTACCAGGAAACATAATTGGTAATTGCAATTCTTTAGGTAATTCAAATTCTCTGGGATTAACTAAAGATGCTGCTAAAGCTAGCATTTCTAATGCAGATTTTTTTTTGTTTTTTTCATTTCCTTTATTATCTAAAAGATTTCTTTTTGATGCACACCGACAAGCATAACACAGCCATTCTCCATTAGGAATATCTGCCGGATCCACAGCTGGATAACTAAAATGATAATATAAATAAGATTTAACAATTTTAAAATAATATAAAATATATTTCAAAAATAAGAAAAATTGATTTCCATTTCTTTTATTTTCAAATATCTAAACTCACTGGCATTGTAAATGATATGATGCAGGACATTTGTCACAGCATATAAGTTCTCCTCCATCTCGACAAGCATCACAAATATCACGATTATGACCACGTCCTCTTCTTTTAAAATATGGATGCTTTTTTTCTTCCTTATCTTTCTTATTTTTTGCTGTTTTAGAATCTTCTGATACAGGTGGTGCTATAAGAGCTTGAATTTGCTAACAATATAAAAATTAAAAATTGAAGTCAAATATTTAAAATATATATAAATATATTATAAATATATTTATAAAATTATATGCATGATATAATTTTATATATAAATTAATTATATTTTTTTCATTTATACTTACTGGCATTAAACCACCAACCATTGGAAAACCATATTCTACAGTACCCATTTTAAAATTAATTTTTATTTCTTAATAATATAAAATTTTCTTATTGCTAATTAACATTTGTTTAATTGTAAAGCATATATCTATTCTTAATTCTCATTTTTCATATATAAGTTGGTTATGTTTAAAACTTAGAAAAACAAAATATTAGATATGAAGATTGTATTCCTATAAAGGATTGTAGATTGTGCTGCCTCTGAATAAAAATTCAAAATTTGAAAAAAAATTTATTTAAATGATATATATCTACATATATGTATATATATATTTATTTATTTATTTGTTATTTTGTATTAATCAAATATTTTAAGTTTTCATGATAATTATTATTCTTATATCATAATTGTTTAAAATAATTTTAAGTATATATGTATATACATTTATATAATGTATAAATTTTGTTAAGTAAAATTTTATATTTATATAACAATTTTTATATTTAATTTTTTATTATTTTAATTGCATTAAATTTAAATAATTCAATATATATAGATATTATAAAAATATTATTCATCATCAAGCATTGTTGCGAGGAAAGTTAACCAAGTTGTTATAATTTATGATTATATATCTCAAAATATTTAAAATTATTAAAGACTTTAATTGAAAATATACGTGTATTTTATTAATATTTGAATAGATAAGATTATTCATATATTTCAAAATTTTAAAATGTTTCGAATATCTTTAAATAATTTAATTAAAAGACAAATACATGGAAATGCAGAAATAATAGAGAAGTGTAAGGAAATCATAAATCGTAATCCACGAAATTTAGAACGTTTAAGAATCGCCAGAAAACCAATAGGTTATGTCCTTGATACACGTAAAATTACATTTTGGCATAAGTAAGACTTAATTATTATATTATTATAATTATTATGTGATTTTTTTTTTATTATAACCTTAATAATATTTTATATTAAAAAATTTTAATTCATATTTTCTAATACTTTCTAATTTTATTTTTTTAATATTTATATAAAATAATATTCATTAATATTCATATATCATTTTAAAAATTTATTTAGACTCGAAATATATAGCACTCAGCGTAATATTATAACAGAAATACATCATTTTGAAAATGGTCCTATTATTACAGTCTCAAGTAAAGAATGGGGAATAAAAAAACAATTATTTAGGTTTGTATATAAGTTTATATATAAATTCAATTATTGATACCTAATATATATTTAGAAAATATTTAAAATTTTTTAATTTTTGAATATAAATAATATAACCCTTTTTATTTATTGTAAATTATAAAGTTATAGAAATTAAAAAAATATTAATAAATAAATATGTTAAAATATAAAATAAAAAAGTTTTATAACTTATATTTTAGCACACACGATGCTACAGCCTACAAATTTGTAGGATGTGTGCTTGCACAACGTTGTTTGGAAAGTGGTATATCTGAAATTTATGTTAATGATTCAATTGTTGTTGGAAATAAAGTACAATTACTATTAGATACATTATCAGAATGTGGAATTTGCTTAAAAGAACCAGAAAGATATAAAGTTCCAAAACCTGGTATATTTGTTCATCCAGAGAAACCTTGGGAAACATATGAATAATTTTTAATTATATATGTGAATGTTATATAATAATAATGAATGTATATGACAATAAATTTAAGTTATAATATATACATTTATAATATATATATATATATATATAAATTTTTCTAATTATAATTATAAATTATTAAACCAAAATATATTAATTTTCCAACTTTGATTTTTGATTTAGCAGATTTTTTTTAAATTATTGAAACATGTAACAAAATATTTAGGAACACAATTTTTATTTTAATATTAGTTATTTTTATTATATTTATTTTAACACAAATATGTAAATTTGTACAGTATACATTATATAAAGATAGTAATAAATAATGATTATTTATTAATATTAAATAAAATATAATTTATGATAAATATAATAAATTTATAATGCTTAATAATGTTAAATATAATTGTGCAGGATCACTATTACATGAATATATTATATAAATTAATAATAATTCTACAAAATTAATAATTAAATTGATTTATTTTGTAATAAAAATTTTTTTTTGCAGATATAATACTACATTGATAATTATTATTATATCATGATCATTTGATCATTTTATTATCAATTATTGATAATAAATTATCTAAGTATCTCAAAAAATTTATATCTTTTATTAATTTTCTTTTATAATGAATATGAAACCACACAGATTTTGAGTTATGTAATTTAGATGATATGATTAGATATTTTGAATATATTATATATTAATTGACTATTGTATATAGTGAATAATACATATTATTCATAAAAAATTTGTATGAAATTCATATGTATATATTATTTTATTGATTAGTTTTTCATTTAAAAGTAGATATATAAAAAAATAATAATATAAATAAAAAATTAAAAGTTTAATTTTTAAAAAAAAATTGATTATCATGTATTTTTCTTTTCTTATTTTATTAAATTTATAAAAAAAATTTTTATTTATCGAAATATTATAGAAAATCCTGCACACATATACCTATAGAAAATTAATTTATATATTTAATCTTAAGCAATAATAATACTTTTCAAATTATAAATTAAAATTTGAATTTTGAATACTGATAATATAACATTTTTCTTACAAAATTTATAATTTTTAAGATATTAACTTTTTAAATTTATTTAATTATTAAAACGATAAAACTATTTATATTTATTTGTTCGTCAATTTTTAAAAGAATCTATAATAGTATAAAATAAAAAATTAATATATATTTCGAGTCAAATATGATATAACATAAAATTTTCTAAATGATGATAAAAATAAGTAAATATTTTATTAAAATATTTTTCTAAATAATATAATTTTAAGAAATATATATATTACTGATCGAATTCAAAATTCATCAATGCCTCATTTATAATTGTTTTTATTTTTTTAAAATTAAAATCACTTCTCTATAATTTTTAATAATATTAGAATTATGAAATATTTTAAAACATTATATAGTATTTATATAATGGATGCAACTAATTTTAAGAAAAATAACAGTAAAAATGAAATGCGAAAAAATATTTTCCGATTGATACAATATCTAACTATATTAACATAAATTTTTTTTTAACTACATACTTGAATACAATAAGAATTTTACCTGATAAAAATTTTAATTTTAATTGTAATTTTACTATCAAAATTTTAATTTTAATTTTTTTTTAATTATTTTTTATTAATTATTTTATTATATTTGGAATTAACTAGCATTTAATAAAATCAGCTTAATAGAATTTTGATAAAGTAAATATTGACTAATTTCGGAATATGACAATAATATATCATATATATATATATATATATATATATATATATATATAAGAAATGTGATCTTTTTTAATAATTTATATTTATCTGAAATATGAAAAAAATTATATCACAAAAGGTAAATATTTTTTAAAAGTTATATTAAATGTGATTAATTTAAATTTTATTTGCAAGTATGAATATCTACGCTTTTGACACAAGTTTTGCATTCAACGAAACAACACCAACGAAATTTGCATTCGCATCTTTCTTTAATGGTTGATTTTTGTGTATTGTAACCTCTACCACAACAAAGGAGATTACATCCATCCATGCCAGATGATGTTCTGTTGCAAATTCTTCCATGTGTACCTAATAAACATTATTTATTTTTCTTTAAAAATTTATATAAACTTATTTAATTTTCGAAATTTCCGAAATAAATTATATAAAAAGACACATGTACATTTTTTAAAACATTGTATATATAAATATAAATAAGCATGTTCATACATATGTACAATGTTTGCATTTATGTGTATATTATGATATAGAACAAAATAGTTTTATTTTGGAATTAAAGATTTAACAAATTAATCGATTACAATTAAATTTTAAGATTATTAAAATTATAAATAAACATTCTTAAAATTTCATAATATAAAATTAGAAAAAATTATTAAAATTTAATTTGTGCTTAAACTAATTTTATTTTTTATTAAAATTTCATTTTTAAAAAAAATGTTTACCTAATGATCCGAGTGTTTCATTAGGAAGACAATAATTTGGAGAGTCATCCAAATAAACTAAATCATTCGCTGTAGGTAACGAAAATCTTGGATCTCGCATAGATAAACGACCACGTCTGTTTACTCTGACTTCTGTTGCTCCATCGTATTTATCTAAAAGAAAATCACCTATAAAAAACAATTAATTTTTCATAAAATTGTTACAAATTGTTGAGATAAAAATAATTTTAAATTTTATTTATACAGAATTTTGTTTTGCTATTGTTTATTTTTTTTCTTTTAACGATATTCATAATTTAAATGCTTAAAAGTTTTTTTTACACTTTAGAATTCATTTTTTTGGATTACTTTTAAGAAATTCTAAGAAAGAAAAAAATTTAATTATTATATTATATTATTATATTTAATATATTTTAGAATTAGAATAAATGTATGGAATATAAATAGAATAGAGAATATAAAAAGTAATATTTAAAAGTTATTCTATTATGTTTTTCATGAATAATTTAAATTATTGTAATATTAAAAATAGTTATAGTAAAAAAGACATACCAATTTCTCGAAATGATGCAAGTTGCTGCCAGCAAGTAATTAAGCTGCAACTTCCAGAAACTCCATGGCACTTGCATGTTACTTTGGATCGTTTTATAACCGCCTTTAAAAAAATTATTGATTTAATAACGAACCAAATAATTTGACAATTAAAAATATTAATATATGATATTTTATATATTTCTACTTTAATTATTTTTTGTCATTTTTTATTTAATAAAATAAAAAATTAATGAAAATGAAAAAATGAAATTTACCCTACGTCCAGCTTCGTTATTATGAAGATTCATCAGACTTCTACCTTGTTCTCTGCTACCTCTTTTAAAGCTTCTTTCACGTTCTTTTACATCAACAAATGCTTGTGTAAATCTAACAAAAATTTAATCAATACAATATACGATCAAGTAAAAATTTTAATTTACATAATTTTATAACAAAATATTTAGTATTAACAAATTGTAGATATAAATCAAAATCAACAAATATTTTTTCAGATTGATTTTATTAAAAGATTTCCATCTATAAAAGTTAATATTTTTAATAAAAAATGATGTAAAGAATTAAATGAATTAAAAAATTCAATTAAACAAAGTAATTTATTTCTAATACTTACTTATAACCGTATTCGAGATTATCCCCGCATCCACCCCAGATCCAATCTCGTTTTAGATCTCTGGGTCTGCTACTTCTAGAACAACCACACGAAGATAATTGTCCGTCTCTGCAAGATCGACTTATTGAATACACCACTCCTGCAGTTGTGATTGCATGAACGAATGCAGTTTCTCTACTCGCTATTAAAAATAATTATACATTATAAATTATATACAATTTTATACATAAAATTTTATATATAAGTGATTTTTTTTCAAAAGCATTACAAATATTAACTTGAACTTCTATATGTGAACTTCTAAGTACTAGTATTAGTTACAACAAAATTATAATATATAATTTAATTTAATACTTAAATTAACTTATATCATTTAATAATAATAATTATTGAATTACAAATAATTGTTTAAATTTATATAATTTATAAATAGTAAATTTCTAAACTTTTATTTTCATTTAAAACATGTCCTTGTCTTTAATTGAAACAAATAATATGATAAAATCATATAAACGTATCTCTGTTCTGACTGTTTTATAAACTTAATGATCTCTCTTTTATAAACTCTTGATCTCTCTTTCTTGTTTATTATAAGTTATCTGTTGATAAGGATGATGAAATTGTTGCATTGTAACATCTCTTGTTAAATATTTCAAAAAAAGAAATCATAAACCTTCAAAAGACATCTTTCTGTGTGATCTCATATGTTTAACGAGCAAATTAATAATTTTCTCTCACCGTATAAAAGATTTATACCTATTCTAAGCATAGGTCCAAACACGGATTCATTAGAGACAGTGGAACAATTCCATCTTCGATCGTGGAATTGATGTTGACACTCAAGAATCCCAAATTTTGCACCCTTAGCCACGCTCGGCATATGATCCACCGATAACTGACAAAGCTTTCCTTGGCCTTGCGAAAGACCTTTCAACCCGTGACAAATGCTAGACGCGGCTACGTCGTAAGTCTCCATCATTTGAGCGGTGTCCAATTGCGGATAGTGTTGCAAACCGATATTTCTGAAACGATAAAACAATATTATGTAAAAAAAGAAAAGTTATAAAATCCTTCAGTGATTTTTAATAAAAAAAAAAAAAACAAGCGAGAAAACTTTTTCAATACAAAAAGAGAACTTATAGCAATATTTATATAAAGTTTAATTCTTAATAAAAAACTTACACGCATTCAAAAATCAAAATTCATCTTCATTCTTTCAAAAAATAGAAGATCTTTTTTTATAAAATCAATCTTTAAATTGAATCGCACTAATAAATGATCCAGTAAATTTAACTTTATCTAATTTTTTTTCGCTAAGTACGCGTATTAGTCGTTAAAAGCGACTAAGTCAAAAAATAATCTAATCTGTCCACTAGGATCAATATTTTAATCCCTACTAACAATTTTCACGCAAAAGGAGCTCGATCGATGCTCCCTAAACGCGTTCTCTCGATTTCAGTTTACCCTTCGTTAAACAACACGCGATTCCCTTTCTTTTTTTTTCTTTTTTTTTTTCTGAAAGGAGGGCGTGCATAAACGCAATCGAAGCTGCGCGCGGATTTGTTACGCCGATTACGTATCAAATTCGGAGCGGAGAAAGCCGTGGGCGGGGAACGATTCTCCGCGCCGATTTTTAATGGCACATTTGTGAGTCAACCGAGCGAGATGATGGAACGACGCCGTCACGGACAGAAGTCATGGGGTGCTCTAACGGAGCTACCAATCTGAAATTCAAAACGGGTGCTCGTAAAGGTTTCACCGAAGACATAATACGGGTGTACACACTCGGATGCTCTAATATTGCTAATTGAGCGCACGAAATACACGTTCCTCGCAATACGGGAAACAATAGAAAAGTTTTGTCATTTTTTAAGGTAAAAAGATGACTAATTAAACTGATTAATTTGAACTCTCGCGTTTAATCATTTTTACGATATTATTTTCTCTTTGAAACGAATTTACGTGAGTGTATTCCTTGATTCTGTATTTGTTGTATACTCTTGTTGTTACACTTAGTTTCGTTATTAATAGTATTTTTTCAAAAGATTTTTTTTAATGATTAGAAAATAAGTATCGTACAGACTTTGAATGGACCAGTTTATATATCGTGTTTGATAATATAATTTACATGTGGAGAGAGATATCGAGTCGATAGGAAGGAAGGAAACTGTATTATTACACCTCAGATGTTTCTATACTGTTGTTTACTGCAGTTTCTCTTTTGCTAGGGTGAAAGTTGCATATGGTAGTACGTATCCTGTGCAACATACAATGCTCGGAGAAAATGTTGGAAAATACAAGTGTATAAGAAACATTTAACTCTTTTCAATTAATAGGAATTTAAATCAATTTGAATTACAATTGTTGCATTAAAATTTTTATATATAAAAATTCGAACTTTATATTCCGATGAGTTAAAATAAAATATTTTGACCTTACCTATTAACTTTTTCCGATATTATCGATATTCATTTATCACATTTTATATGTCTCTCACCTTGTATTGTAATTAGTAAAATCTCTCAGGGCGATTATAACGAAACGATCTAAAGAACAGGTTTCACAACTACAAGTTCGAGATTCGGATTCGAAAAATAAAACAAGACTGTGCCATCATCCCTAAACGAACACTTATATATACTCTATCGACTGAAAGTTTGGGATCACATTTTCAATTTTATTTTAAAACATTTTCTACGTAAAAAAAAATTTTCTAAACGCTAATTTTTTTTCTTTTCCCAAAAATCTATAATTTTTACAAAAAAAAAAACTAATTCGTTCAATTCGAAATCTTTCTTACTCGAAAACTTCGATAGATCGAAGATTTCAACTCTATCCTCGAGATTCGATTTATCGAAATTCGATTGTATCATATATATAAATTATATAACTTACGAGTATCAGTGATTCTGAACGTTTCGAATCAATCGTACGTACGTATATCAATCGATTCTTTCTCTCTGTCATTTACATATCCAAAGAATTAAAGTTCTCAGCTTTTGGTGCCACGGTACCAATATACATTGCGCTATGGGAGTGCATATAATAGACCGCATTAATATTCCGGAACACGTTTTGGCTGTGATATATTATCAGCTTTGCACTCCCCTAAAACAATGACGCGGGGAATCATGGGAGGGGAACGATAATATTTCGAAGGATCCTACCCACGCGAATTCGTGGGGCACACCGCAGGCCTTGCCGTCCTAAAAAGTAATGCCCCGTGTCTCTTAAAAGATTGTAGCGGCAATCGTATGGTTTTATGGTATACCGGGTGTTCTAATTTCAATATCGAACAATATCCGTTGAATAGTGTAAGTCGTTTATTATTTCTTTTTTTTTTGTATTTTCATGTTTTTAATATTTTTATATGTTTTTAAATTTTATTTATTGCTAGAATGCTATGTTTTAATGAAAGTAAATCGATAGATTTCGCGTGACGTAAAAATTTAAAATTAAACTAATTTTATAATTTTTTTACATCGTCGAAGATTTTCGTCTTTTGAAGAATATTTCCTTTAATTTCAAGGAGATCGATTAAAAATTATTATCTCGATTAATTTTAAAAAATATATATATATATATATTTGCTTTTTTAAGATTTGTAACGAACGAAATGATTTTTGATTTTAAGGATTTTGACGATATATTTTATCATCCTCACAATACTGAGGTATACGTCATCCACCTTATTTCGCGTAGGAGTAACGTAATCGAGCCGTATTATTTGAGTGTTAGCAGAGGCGAAGGGCCGAGAGATAATGATTATTATTAGCAGTACTAAATTATCCGCGATGAGGTATATTTCTCCATTAATGCTACTAAAAATACGTACGTTTCTTTGTCGTTTCAAAAATTGCTTCGAATCAAAGCCGATTAAATTAAGTAATATATCCCTTATATATCTTGCTGAAATTCTCGAGAATATTCAAGCTATCCTTTCTTTTTCTCGATATTTAATGTCAACATTTAATGCATTAAACTCGAAAGAGATGATGTCGAAATCTATACATACGAATTTTTACAAATTTCTACAAATTCTCTCCTATGAAAATCAACACGTTCCATTCATTACATATTTCACGTAAACGTGTAATCGGTTTCAAAATATCACATTCCTTTTTCGTTTTTCAATACGAAATATTTTTATACCGAAATGAATTATTATCCAATTGTTAGATCCGGAATTTAATTAAACGCATACATCGATAACTCTCCTGGAGACGTTGAGTGACGTTCACTTGTCACTTTTAAGATCTCTCTCTCTCTCTCTCTCTCTCTCTCTCTCTCTCTCTCTC